TTTTCAGAATCTAACCAAATCACCAATATTTTCAGAAGGACAATAATATCTCTCCGGCTACGGGAGCGTTAGATTTCCACTGTGCTTTCCGTCGGTACATTTCTTGGCCTGTGCATTCGGGTAAATTAATTTCAAGATAATTATTCTTAATAAATGTCACTTTATATATTTCGCATGATATATTAGCCAGATGCCTCGCGTTCTTGATTTCCATCGTGACGTTTATGTGGCCACATATTATGCATTAGCCTTTCTTTTAGCAAGTAGCATAGCTGAGTGATCGAAAAAACGGTCCACTTAAAATACAATGCACAAAGTAATTTCTTGGGATTTTTTTCTAATTTTCAAAGATTGATGGACGAGTGCTTATTCCTGGTGTATTTCAAATAGCTATTCATCTCGTTGAATTATATTCCATTTCTAAGAATTAATAACTTTTATCTTACCTACTGGGATGTCTCGCTGTATTCTTGTCATGCATATATCCGCCGTGAATAGCAGTGTCAATGCAAAATAACGAGAAACCATTTTCCTTTGATTTCACTGTTACCTTGCAGTGCCGGTGGAAGGGTTGATAAATGTCCCTTTAGTCCATAAGCGCATTTAGCTTAATTTGAACTGCCCTTATTCCTTCTCATTCCACGTGTTTCATGGTTAATGAAACGAAGAAAAGAAAAATTCTGGGAGCTTCTTCTTGGTTTCCAGATTCTCCTTTGGCAACTCATATATTTCTCCCACCAAAATTAGTTCTACGGTGCATTCTTACGTCTTAAGAGCTCAAGGCGGATGCGCGCGCATTCTTAGAACAACTGTTAAGGCTCTCGGCAATTAACAGTCCATTACCTTTAAGTCTCAACGTCCCCAAACTCTGCATGCACGACCTGGTCGGACGCTAGAAACATCGTTACCGTCGCTGTTGTTAGTTATACAGTGGTTGATAGAGACTTTGCACGAACAAATCAAACACTAGTCGGAAAGATACACTCAGAGAGATTACAAGACTGGCTATCACCTCTAGTTGGGAGTTTTGATGCCCCAAAGCTGAGAAAAATCGATTATGACGAAAACTTCATGATCGAGCTTAGCTATTTGGATTCACCTTTTAACTCGAGTAGTTTTATTAATCTTCGATTTCTTCATACAAAAAAGGCTTTTCCTGTACACTTCTGTCTTTTTCTCGCTGAGTTCATGAATGGACTTTGATATCCTCTGTGATTATATTTCACCAGAAGTTAAAAATACTTGGTGCCTATTCGGATTAAAATAAACTTAATGAAACGAAAGCGCTATCAGAGAGAGTGAAAAAGTGACAATAAAATAAGAGATAACCATTTATTCTTCAAATGGCAATACTTCTCCGATGACACACCAAAACTGGAAAGCATTATTCCCAAACCATTTGTCTATAGGTCCCTCCATTGTTATTCGATTATGCAGCCATTTTGCAGAATATTTAGTTTTGGCAAGAGTCTCCAGACTACAAATGCGCCATACCGTGCAAATCGCATTATCCGTTTCACCGATCTGTCAGCTTTTAATGGCTTTTGGAACCTGCATGTCCCGTCGCTTTTTATAGATATTCAATTCGGTGGCCCTGCACACATACAGCAGGGCGCAGCGGCAGCATTAATAGTGCGTAGGGAATATCCAGCTAAATTTTGTCGTCTTAATCCAATCACCGATGAAGAGTGAAAGACGCGGGCATCATTGCTTCTCTTGGGACTGGCTGCTTTCATTATTACTCCGGCTTGCTGACTAAAATCAATCGGCGCGGGGTGGCACTCGCTGCAACAATCCACATGTATTAGTATTGGTAGACTCGAGAAAACCAACAAGGCTTTATCAAGTCGCATTTATAAAGGAAAGTATTTAACTGTTTATTTTAATACATATGTATTATCTAACGCAGACTCTAGAAGAAACCACGTCCATATCATCTTAATTAAATATTCTATAAATGTTTAAATGTGCACAATATTTCTTCTTTGCGAGTACTAGTGTGTTATTCTTATATAAGAAAGGTCCTTAATTAAGCGTTAGAAATAATGTTTTTCTTGCTGTATCTCTGCCGATTCATCAGTTCAACATTCACACTCATTGAAGGTAGAATTTTATTTCACCTTGATTACACAAAATGCAATTTACAGAATGATTAACTGGCTGTTATAAGTTATACCGCAATAACTGAATTGCAGATTTATTTTGCGTTTGCTTCCTTCCATCTGAGGTCATAAATGTATGCGTGTGTCGATCTATTAAATCACTGTCGAGTTAGTAATTAGTTAACAGGATACCAGAAGAATAGGATACATGGGTAAGAAGATATAACATTTAAGGCACATCTGTCATCACTTAGCTGAGACAATTTCTCGTACATAAAGAGCACTTTCCTCTCCTGAAGTCAATGTTTAATTAGGAAGGTCGATAGTAACTTGGCCAAAGCCTTGAGTGACCCACCCGGGGCCAAAGTGGATGTGCAGATGCGTCTGCTTCATTATAGCCCGGTAACTGCCTACTGATCGATCAATTTACGCTGATAACTCATTTAAATACAATTACAAATTAAATTACAAAGAATAGCGATGGGGTGAAGGAATTACTATTGCACTATTGATTGCTTGAAGCTCCGTAGCAAAAACAAGTGATATATTCCTTCTTTTTCGTGGCACAATAAAACGAAGAGGGACACTAAAGATTGACACAGTACTCGATAGGAAATTCAGTGACTCCCATGCCCTCGCACGGATGAGCTTTTTACGGCAATTTTGAAATATCTTCTGATGACATCACGCACGTATTCATGCACGTATTCATCACGCACGTATTCATGCACGTATTCATCACGCACGTATTCAGTCCTTTACAGTCTAAGCAAGAAAATGTGGTTTACATCTAGTCCTCATGAGTAATATCAAGCAGGCTTTTCGCACATTGTCACTTTTTGATCCCTATTGAATAAGCCAAAAGAAAGTACATGTGCTAATTTATACATTTCCAGGGTATAGAATATAGCCACAGAGCCCTGAACCTGGATCTCATTCGTTCACATTTCCATGAACATTTTGATGCTGTGCAATTCTGACGTGGATGAAGTGCTACATTTTTTTAAATTGAGAGATGGGGTGATTTGACAAGTTATTTTATAAACGTATAGGTTTGCGTTTTTTTTTTTTTTTTCGAAAGAAATTGAAACAGTAACATTTAAAATATTTCATAGTGTATAATTTGGGCAAACAAAGTTCCCTTTTTATCTCAATAAGAGTTAATTTCCATTGAAACTATGCAGATCGATCCAACTCCGAAGGAACTCTCGCTGAATGCAATCAGCTGTACAGATTAACACGCCCCCTCTTGTTTTCAACGTTCTCATATCATTACCCGCTTTACTTTTTTCTGCACTACGCCAGGAGGAGGAGTGTTTATCCGTTAAACTGGTTGCATTAAGCGGAGTTAGATCGACCTAGGTAGACTAATGGAAATGGAAATGAGCCCTGAGGCTTTTAGAATGGGGCCACGTGGTGCCTCATCACGTGGTATGGACGCATTGTGCTAATAGGTCAGGGACACTTTGCACTGCGGATCTCACATTCAACGATACAACTATAACTGAAATATTTTATTCATCTATTTTATACATCTTGTACAAACTATACACTTAAAAGAGAAGAGCCATTGCTCTAACTTTAAACACCGGTCGGTGAAATTACCCTGTAAAAAAATTACCTTTGACAAGAAAAAAAGAGATGTTACTACACACGCAAAATCCAGTTAAAAACACATACACGATTATGTAATGTTCTACAGGCTCGTAATTACATTAAGTTTAAATTAAGTCGTTTCCTATTCACACAAATAGCTTTCAGAAATCCCTGTCAGAAATGAATGCTGAAGTTGATTATATATGGCTCCACAAAAACAGCTTTAACGTGTATGTGAAACGTTAATTCAATTGGCACCTTCATTTTCTCAGCCACATGTGAACCGAAATCTGTGCTTTAATTACGCCAAATCTATTCTATAGGATCAATATGAGACGGTGGAATTCTGCTTGCTCTTAGACGCACCTCTCACTCTTATCCTCTGAAATGTAGATACCTGTGTACCTAATAAAGAACTACGTTGTCAGAGATATTGAATTTTTAGCGTTACATGTAGAAAGAACTGATGAAAATGACATATACCAAATAAGTGAAGGCTAGATATTTTTTCCGTCGTGGTTATGATCAGCACAACGAGGCTGTAAATTAACGAATAAAGTAAATCTGAAAATAGCACCAAGATTCACTGTGTCATATCTGGAATAAAGTGCCAAAATATCCACTGGTCGACATTCAATGACGGATCCAAAGAACCATACCCCCTAATTGCTTTAAAAAGTACACCCTTCCACTCTTTTTCTTAATAAAAAGAGTCGTACAATAAGCGAAACTAGTCAAACCAAGCAAATTTATCCCTGTGCAATACTTAAAGGGATAATAACTCTACGTATGAGATCTATATTTCACAATAAAAACATTGTGAATAACTCATAGAAATATAATATATTCTGTTTTACCACAAAAACGGCAGTTATAGCTATTATTCTGATATCTGAGCTTGTCTTTAGACCACGTGACCTCCATTGATGGCTATACTCTGCTAAAATCTCTTAAGAGATTTTAACAAAAAACCAAACTTTTTAGAAAAAAACCAGGGACTAACTTTGAATGTAAAAATGGATTCATTAACCATTGGTCAGTATGGGAAAATTGTTGTTTACTCCAGGAAAATTCATTTTTTGGCCAAAACGAAGAGTTATTATCACTTTAATATTACAGTAAAATTATCCTCGACAACGATTTGATTTGCCTAGCTTAACAAGGTTAAAAAACATTTCTTTGTATACCCCCACCCTCTTCTACCCTCTAAGCAAAATCTTGGATCCTTCAGTGACATTTACGTGTTGTCGCTGAAGTCTTTTTCTTCATCAAAATCTGATTCTGATTAAAATATTTCCGGAAATTCTCTAAACTTCAGTATCCGTTTTTCTCTCAGTTCCTCTGAAGGTTACCATAGTTTGTGACGGTATGTACCCCATCTGCTAAATGAATAAGAAACAAACTGTTAAATGCGTAATAATGTGGTATACATTCAATGTATTTCTTTTTTGTTTTTTTTTTCTCCTCAAGATGTAATCATAAAATAAGCGCCTGTGTATATTCGAGGAAATGTGTCTTTAAAAAATTATTTTTAGCTTAAATCAAATGCTGTAATGGATATTTCATGATATCAAAAATCCAACATTACCGCAGCTCCATAGGAAGGAGGAGGCGCGACACATTCTTCAGCATAGTCCCCTTCGTGTTCTCCTGGGCCAGCAATAGATAGCCGGGCCTTAGAGCGTACGGCGTTTTTAAATGAACCCTGCAAAAACATCAACAACTTGAAATAAGGATTTCTTTAGTTTTTCTTTACGGCATGGAGGGTAAACATAAAGCAGCTCTATTTCAATGATTCAACGTGCTTTGAAGTGTAATTCATCTTTAAATGTGTAATTTTTTCTGCGTAAAGAAACCAAAAGCACACATCAAGGCATCAAAACGCGCTACTCTTTCTTTCTAAAAGACGTGACTGTGAAATTTCCCAAAAATTCGAGCTGTTTCAGTTTCTTATGATGATCATAGAAAGGAAAAAGAGACTAAAAAACTGCAGCTAACCTTTGATCTTTTAGCTTCTTTTCTTGCATTGTAAAGGAATTCAAATAACGAGACCAGCATAGCAAGCATAAGTCCTCCAATCAGAATATAAAATACGCCTGCCACATTATTCAGTTTTAGCGGGTTTGTTTTGGAATCCTGCAAAATAACTTTGTGAAATAACAACAAGATAACTTACTGAAGGTGTCTTCAATAAAATGGATACTTGGTAATGTGAATTCATTATAAACGATATCTCGGCCATTAAAACAGGTGTATCATCAACAAAGAGCCCTGACTACAATAAATATACTGACAAATCTCTTATGCTCATAACGCAGTAATTAAACATTTCCTACGTCCACATTTGAAAAGCAATATTTAAGATCCGCCAAACTTATAATTTCTTAAAGTCTTGTGTATTACGATGTTGATTTATAGTGAAAGCAAGTCTTAGACTGGGTTCCCACAGATTTAGATCGATCCATCCGATCTAAGCTGACAGTCATCTAGTGAGACTCCCCACGGGGATAGAACGATCTAAAATCTGTGGGAATGCAGTCTTCGTTCTCTTACCGGCTTTTGGGCACATTCACCCTTGTCATACCACCACTTTTTCTTCAACTTCGTTAAAATACCGCGCTCATCTAATTGTAAAATAGCCAGATTAATTTTTTCCCTGAAAAGATAGAAGAGAAGTTTTACCGAGTCTGATGTAATTCTTTTTTCAAGAAACTCAAATTCGCTTGTTTCTGCTTTCAACTATCTGCTTTCAATTACTCTTATACGTACTATATACGTACTAATGTTTGCACACAAAATTAAGGTAAATATTTAAACCCCTTACCATGAATTCATTCATTCAATTATATTACGTCAATATCAACTAAAAGAACCGTTTAAAAAAGAAAACTGAATGCTTTTTTATCTAAAACACACACATACACACACACACACACACACACACACACACATATGTTCGCAACCCAACCAACAACAGAGTACCTGAGGTTCTCCGGCTCAAGACCAACGGCCGTAGCCACGCCATAGCCTTTGTTTTGAATATTAGGTCCAACCATCATGGTATCACAAGGCTTCTTTTGGTTTTTATAGTCGTTTGTTGTAGATTCTAATAGAAAAGCATATTTTCCTTTCGACTCTCTAAGTTTCTTTAATCCTTCGTCGGTGCTTTTTACAAAAACTCCTGGTCTTGAAGTCATGAAAGCCCACATATTTTGGTAGGTTTTAAACTGAGAGTTCTGAAAATTAAAAAGCATATCCTGAACAATACATTTTTGACCAAATACAATGAACTGAAATAAATAACCGAATAATACTGCACTACTTAAAGCCAAAATAGGTAGAACTAGCACAAAAAGACAAGTAAAAAGAACTTAAATACTGCTTCTTAAAAATGAGGGGTAACTTGCTTCAGAACTCGTTCACTGAAAATACCACAAAGCATGTTGTGTGTGTGTGAGAGAGAGAGAGAAAGAGAGAGAGAGAGAGAGAGATGTACTTTAAAAAATTTCGCTGTTGATCCCCCCTCCATGCATCCGTATTCAATTTCTGTTTGTTGAGCCAGATCTTCGGCAGATCTTATCCGTGGATTTGTTCGTTCTATAGTGAGGAATGCGGCGAGGTTAGCGGTGTAGGATGAGATGATGATGAGCGAGAAGAACCACCATACGGTTCCTACCAGACGACCAGATAGCGACCTGGAATTTTAGACACAAAGGACTAATAATACACTTGTGTAACAAAAGAAAAAAAGATTATTTTCATGTATTGTTTTCCGAAGCAGCTGTCGCAACGTGTCCGGTTTCATAAACATAGTCGTAATTGTTATACAGTTGTACTTCTTAAAATAAATAGACATGTGAAAGGCAAAATTATTGTATAATACTGACATATATATTTATTGTCAAAATCGGCAATGCGGCATACAATAGTCACGTTTTCATTAATTTCAATAAAACAATTAGTAATGAATTATGTCGAATCCATACTTATTAGATACCACAGGGATTTTTATTTCATTTCATGAAAAGTCGTTAGCCTTTCTCTTAAAATGCCATAGAGTCTTTTGTGCGTTCTTACTTGGGGAAAACATCTGCTCCTTGCTGCATGACAGCCCCAAAGGAAAACCACAAGCTGTTCTTCAGTGAAAATACAGTCTCTAATTCAATCACCTCTCCATTCTGGGCCTCATTGTTCCACTCCAGAGGGCTTATCCGGCACACGAGGAACATGACGACGCTGACACCGACAAAGGCAAAAGCGATGCTCATCCAGATTTTCTCATCGAGAGGGTCCAAGAAGGAGAACACCCCGGGTTTCTCTTTTTCTGGTTTTTTAATCATGATGCTGACCCCTGTCCTCATGAAAGGTTTAGAGAAATCGACGACCCGCTGACGCTGGGCTGTGATTGTTAACGAGCTGATAGCCATGTCCGCCTCCTATATGGATAGATAGAGGAACAAAACACCCCATCATCAAACAAAACACTAAGAACGATGTTCGAAATAATTATATGCATTTCTCACTCGCTTTATTAGCAGTTAATGTGCTCATACGTAACGACAGAGTGTATTTTGCCAAGATGCGTCTTTCTAAATGTTACAGAGGATTGGATGTATTGCAGTGAGAGTAGCAAATCAATTTGCAAAATGGATGCCAAGAATATAATAATTTTCACATTTAATGCTACTGCATTGGATTTCGATAGCACTCACACAAACACACACACGCACACGTAATACCACTACTGCAATATTGTGCTCATCCAGCTACATGTAAATAGTGTGTTGGTGCCATATTTAGGCGAAGCGAGCACGAGCGAGGGGGCTACGACTGCGTCCACAACTTTCTTATAAAGAATTTACACTAGATTGACGTCAACAGATTGTCTGAGCTCTTTGAATAGTTTAATTCTATCGAATTCTTGGTTTGGAAAAGTCGAAGTCTTATTCATGCATGTGTATATCTGGCTGTTGAAGCAAGTGGTATGTATACTAGTAATAACACATACACACTCAGGCCCGTAGCCAGGGGGGGGGTTCGGGGGGTTCGAAAGAACCGCCCCTTTTGCTGGGAAAAGGTCCACCCTGGGTAAAATTTGATCTAGGTACATGAAGTTTTTATGGAAAAAAGTCCACTTTTTCAGAAAAAGAACCCCCTTTTGAAATTGCTGGCTACGGGCCTGCACACTGCATGTGTAACAGAAACTGGCACTCGACATTAGAATAAAATAACGCTGTCTAAACCACTCACCCCTCGAGTCAGCTCGCCGATCATACCGTCCCAATGTGTGCCATTATATTCCCCGTACATTTTGTCGTCCACCAATTTTATGGTGTATCTGAATTTTAACAAGGCAGCAAAGATGTCAAATGTACAGACAAAAAAGCAGAAAATGATAATGCACAAAATAGGATCCTGTTAATGACATATTACTACAGCTCAAGGTGACAGAGAAACAATACAAAGAAAATGAGCGGATGTATTGTTTGTCTTTATACAATGCATCACGCAAAAGAAATACCTCATGTTTAATTCAATATTATATAACCTATTAAATCATGAATATTGAAAATTAATAGAATAATTAGTTGAAGTCGAAACCCTGATAATGTTTGCTGTAACAGATATAAGAGCCGTGTGTTATAACCTGAAGTTAGCGATTGCGGCCAGTTCCCTGGTCAGGTCCACACAGTAGCCCTCAAACCTGTCATTGCCCACCAGCGGCTCCCCGTTGTCCTGTTTTTTCCACATCACGTACGGCTCTTCCTAGAGAAAAAAAAAAACACCCAGCTGCAATAAATTAAATGGGCAAAATTGGCCTTTCCAAAAATTATTTCCACCATTACTTGTTAAACCGTCTTTTCATCATATTTTAATCTATCCGTCAGAAAAGGATAAGTAAATCATTTCAGAAGGCTTTGTGTTGGAGGAAATTGTAAATGTTTTTCTGCTTACTAGTCAAATTGCAGCTTGCTTGCATAGAAAATTCTGGCTTGCTATTTTTCGTACTATTGTTTGGACCCTCTTTATATAACAAACCATGCAGTCACTTAAATGAATAATTATTAACGAAAACTTAATTACTAACAACGCTGAATTGATCGCTTAATCCAATCCTCAACAATTGTTCAAGTTTAGGGTCGTGATTAAATATTGTGCAAGTTAAATACATGTATGTACTGCAGGAAATATCTAATAATAGATAATCTCTCTCTCTCTCTCTCTCTCTCTCTCTCTCTCTCTCTCTCTCTCTCTCACACACACACACACACACACACACACACACACACACACACACACACACACACACACACACACACACACACACACACAAACACACACACACACAC